TGGGGGGTTCAGCCTGGAGAAGAGAAGGCTCCGGGGAGACCTTGGAGCCCCTTCCAGTCCCTAAAGAAGGGGGGCTCCAGGAAAGCTGGGGAGGGACTCTGGATGAGGGAGGGGAGCCCTAGGAGGAGGGGGAAGGGTTGGACCCTGAAAGAGGGGAGATGGAGCTGAGCTGTGGGGAAGAACTTGTTTGGTGGGAGGGTGGTGAGAGCCTGGCCCAGGTTGGGCAGAGAAGCTGTGGCTGCCCCATCCCTGGAGGGGTTCAAGGGCAGGTTGGAGGGGGCTTGGAGCAACATGGTGTGGTGAGAGGTGTCCCTGCCCAGGGCAGGGGGTGGCACTGGGGGGGCTTTAAGCTCTCTTCAACCCAAACCATTCTGATTGCACAACTCCACGTTTAAGCCCAAGCAGGGGCTGGGTGGGTGCCCAGGGAAGATGGGTTTCACCATCACCCCCTGCCCAGGAGCCTCCCCCAGTGCCTCTGTGGATGAGAGCGGGGCTGTGCACGAGGCAGCTCCTTCTTCCCCACTGTCACCGCAGGAATTCTCCTCCACACAAACATCTAACCCATCCCTGGAGGTGGTGTGTAAGCTCCTTGCCTCACAGGTAACCCACAGGAGTCACCCCTGCGGATAATTACTGCATAAATCATTCCTCTCCTCGGGGAGGCAAACTGGAGCAGTCTATCTTTGGTCCCCCACACTCCACCACGCATGTTGTCTGACCTCCTTCCTAAGCAGGTCTGCTGAGTTCACGTTTATCTCATCCAGGAGCTTATCTCCCCTCCTTTCTAATCACCTGCCTCTCCAGAGGAACCCCCGTGGTCCCACTCCAGCCGCTGCTGGTCCCAAGAGCCATCCGGGGTACTGCCTCCCTGCTGTCCACATCCCTCCTGTGCCTCTCGGACGAGGTGCAAATCCATGAAAACCAGGGTTTTACTCGTTTCTAAACACAAGTGATGACGCAGCCCCTCGCTGGTCCCCTGCTGCCACCGCAGCCGCTCCTCCAGAAGAAGCTGAAGCAAACGATTGTGTGGGGGGACAGCACTGAACAGAGACGTTGTGTTCGATGGCGGGCGCAGGACAGTGTCCCCACTCTGCGCTGGGCAGGGGACGTGGCACCAGCTGGGCCCAGCGACTCTCCCACCCCTCTGCTCCCACAGCACGTCAGGACAACCCCTGGCCACAACAGAAGGGCAAATGGCCACAACAGAGGGGTGGCCAGAGGAGACACACACTCTCTGTGCCATGTTATCTGTCTGGGGTTCAGGCTCCTCTCGCTCACCTTGGGTCAGTGCATTTCCAGTTTCACCATTAGAACCACACAGCAGAAACCTGACAGACAAAGGTGGAGATCACAGAAGGGTTTGGGTTGAAGAGACCTTTAAAGTCCACTCCATTCCACCCCCCGCCCTGGGCAGGGACATCTCCCACCACACCAGGTTGCTCCAAGTCCCCTCCAACCTGCCCTTGAACCCCCCAGGGAAGATTTGGACTAGATCTGGGGAAGAACTTCTTCCCCCTGAGGGTGGTGAGAGCCTGGCCCAGGTTGGCCAGAGAAGCTGTGGCTGCCCCATCCCTGGAGGGGTTCAAGGGCAGGTTGGAGGGGACTTGGAGCAACCTGGGCTGGTGGGAGGTGTCCTTGCCCAGGGCAGGGGGTGGCACTGGGGGGGGCTTTAAGGTCCCTTCCCACCTAAACCCTCCTGTGATTCTATGATCTCAGTTCTCAAAACATTAAATGCATGACTGCAGGTATCTAAAACAAAAACAAAGCAAGAAATACCCGGGTAAGGTCCCTAAAATGAGGTCAGAAGGCTTTTCCCACTCTAAAAGGGCAAGGTTAGCGCAGTTTTGGAGAGGAGCTGACTTAGAGGCTCCCCAGGGGAGGGGGTGCACAGGCAGAGGGACCCAGACTTGCCTCAGGCCAGGGAACCAAGACCCAGCAGAGCAACACAGTCCCGACCCCCCCGATCAGAAGCTGTCCAGGCCTGGGGCAGGGCAAATGCCACCTCAGAAAGACACGGGTCCTTCTCTGGGCTTCGATGCCAGAGCAGTTTGCCTTTGGAAAGGGTGCGACCCCCCCGGGCTGAGCAGGGTGGTGTATCTGGGCCACCAGCACGTCTGAGCCAGCCCTGGTGCAGGGAGGAAGATGCCGCACGGAGCCCTGAGCTTTCTGCTCCACTTCCTACAGCTGCCCACAACACGAAAATACCTCTGCTGAACAGAGGCACACACACTCGGCTTTTCCTCCCCAACCAAAACAAAAAAATCTTCCTGCTGCATCGTCTTGATCAAAAAGCATCCAGAAAACATAAAAATAACGTGCAAGACTCTCCGAAATCTCAGTTCCGAGGCGGCGGCGGCTGCCAAATATGCAGGCAGCTCCCTGCAAACCGACACGTGGCACTTTTGAGCCACACCATAAACAACAAACCCATGTGAATCAGTGCAATAGAAAGGCCCGTGCTCCCGGGGGACCCAGGGCCCTCACACCCATCCCTGCTTCCGCCTGCCCCTCTCTCCAGAGACCGCTGCCGCCTTCCCCAGGCCCTCCCTGCCTCCCTTCTTCCAGCTGCAAAACCGGGAAGGAAGAGCAGGCTTTGGATATGGGAAAAAGACATTCCTAGAAGCAGGATGCTCCCTGCCCCGAGGCGCCTGCGCTGGCGCTGCCTGGGTTTGACACAACAGGAGTATTTAGTGGTCACAAGCTTCGCAGCCACAGAGAGGAACGGAGCAGCAGCCCGGCCCCGGAAGGCTTCCTGCCACCATCCCAGCTCAGAAAACCTGCCCCGGCTGAGCCGTGCCGCCCCTCCAGCCCCCCCAGCATCTCGGGGTGACTGAACCCCAGGGGGTTTCGGGGTGACCTGCTCCTCCTGCCCCGGCACGGCAGCTCCCACGGGCGCAGGGCCTGGGAACTCCAGGGCACATTTTCTACCTCGGGCCAAGAGTTTTGTTTGTGTTTTTAGCATCCATGAAACCACAGCTGCTTTTCCAGCCCGGCATCCCAGCGCTGGAGATGGGAAAACGGAACTTGCCGCAAACAAAGTCTCGGGATTCCTGCTCAAACCCGGAGAAACAGGAGCTCGAGCGAGAGAAACAAAAACGAAATTTACAAAATTCTCACTGGCGGTAAACAAAGTATTAGTAACAGTTAAAGAATCTGGTTACAACATAGGTTTTAGGCTGATGCTTCCTCCTCACCTTCACCCACGTTCCCGAAACCGTGACACAGGTGCCACGCAGCCCGGCCAACACCTCTGGGCGAGGGTCTGGCAGTTTCTGGCTGTGACCCCCCCCGGCCGCGGCGGCGCCTCCTCCCAGAGGGGAGCAGGGACTGGAGCAGAGCACTACTACAGCTTTGTGCCCATTCCTCCCGCTCCGGGGCCAAAACAACTCCTCCCACACCGATGTGACACACGTGTGTTCCCCCACGGAAAAGGGGATCACCCGAGGTGGGGTAGAGAGAACTTTCTGTCTTGTTTTCAGTGGCGGCAGGAGGTGAGCCCAGGGAAAGCTTCACACTGAGATACTTCTCGTGCCGCACCGAGACAGCTCCAAAGCATCATCCTGCTCAGTGACCTTTGGGAAACGGGGCAGCGGCGGGGGCTCCGGCTGCCCCGGCACCTCCGGGAGAGGCTGTCAGTGTGCACCGACCCAGCCAAGCTCCAGCAAGGCCAGGAACAGCCCCAGAGAGAGGTACGGGGCAGGGGGACGCGGTGGTGGCAGAGAAGAGAGACCTCACTGCTCCAGGAACCCGGGCACAGCCCAGCACTGGCCAGGGTGCCACGGAGGCTGGTGATGGGCTCAGCAGACACTGCCAGCACCAGAAGGTTTCAGAAGGTGCCATGCGATGGCCTGGCAGCGCCCACGCAGGCCTCAGGGTGCCCGTGACAGTGGTGGATGACAGGCTGGACCGTCACACCTCTGCAGTGCCAGCACCACACTGCCAGCCCCACGAGCAGGATGGACCTCCCTTCCCTTGGGGGTTCAAGGGCAGGTTGGAGGGGGCTTGGAGCAACCTGGGCTGGTGGGAGGTGTCCCTGCCCAGGGCAGGGGGTGGCACTGGGGAGGCTTTAAGGTCCCTTCCAACCCAACCCATTCCATGACTCTATGACTTACACAGCCAAGAAGAAATGGCAGCAGAGCCCACACGGCACAAACCACGGCTCCCAGGGCCTGTGTTCTCATGACTCTTACAGCAGCCACAGCATTAATCTCTTCTGATCTACACAAGTACCTCAGGGAAACTGGAAGTGCTGAGACCCAGTGAATTCTTGTGCTCACCCCACCAGCCCATCCATCGGAGCCGGCGCTGGCCGAAGGAAGATCTAATCCCGTGCCCCTGGCAGGGCCCCGACTGCCCGCGCTGTGATCTGCAGCACACACAGAGCTGCTCCTCCCGGGAGAAAGTTCAAAGAGAACCAGACAAGTATTAATAGTGCTGCTGGGATCAGAGGAGCTGCACTTCCCAGAGCCGCCAGTGCGGCTGGGATGGTGGGGGCTGCCAGGCACAGGGTGACCCCCTTCGATGGGCATCCCCCTCTGATGGTGCCACGTCCCCCTCGTCTCGACAGCAGGTACCAGGGCAGAGAGAGGCGGCTTCGCACGTGGCACCTACAGGCATCATTACATCCTCTCCTTCCGAGGTCCCCTCTGCTAATATTTGTACAGCAAACACAGCTCACCGTGAGCAACCACAGGAGGCATTTCGATGCACGGGGTTTTTGAGCGAGATGTGCCTCTTACAAGATCCCCATCTGAGTCAAACCCATGAGTCACTTGGCCCCGTCCACGCACGACAGAGCGAGGTGTATTTTTACTGCCAGTCAGAAATGCCTCCCACCAGCGAGAGCTGCCTGGACATCTTGCAGCAGCAGAGAGCCTGGCACTCTCAGGCTGAAAATCGACCCAAAACGCAGGTGGGGCAGTAGAAGGACGGGCCGTGAGAGCTCTCCTCTGCCCAGAGCGTTCACTGCAGTTCCTCTGGCTTTTGGGTTAGCTCCTCACCCCGGGCATCCCCTCCAGCCAGGCAGAGAAAGCCCGAGAGGCAGAGGAGCTGCGAGCACCTCGGAGGAGCATCACGCCTGCGCCCTCGCTCCTCCGACCGTCTGCACGGGGCCTGCGCCGCCAGAACCTGCATCAAAGGCTTCACGGGAAGAGACAGCACCGAGCACGGAGGCAGCTTCCTCTCGACATCCACCCCGACCTCCCACAGAGGCTCAAAACCAGAATTAACACCCCCAAACCCCAGCCCCGACTGCGGGAGCAGCGAGGAGTGTTCTGAAGAGCTGGCTAAACGGGGCACGACCCTCCCGCCTGCACGACCGCAAAGAAACACAGAAAACGCTGCAACCTCCCCGGCTCAGCCCAGCTCTCCCAGCAGCTCTGCCAGCCCCACACCAGCCCCTGCCCCCCCCTGCAGAAAGCCAGCCCCCTCCAAGCTCTCTGAGCCCTCAGGAGGGAGAGCAATGTGAATTTTGCACCTCTGGCAGCTCAGCACGCTGCTCAGCCCGCGCCCCCGAGAAATGGGGCAATCCAATCCAACAGCCGAGGAGATCCAGAGCTGGGGGTCTCAGCTCCTGTCCCCCCCAGCCTGCCCAGCCAAAAGCCCTTCCCTCCTCCCTGGGTTTTACCTGGGGGGGGACGTCAGAGGCTTGGCCAGAACGGGCAGCACCCAGCGAAGGCAGGGCCAGCTGCAGACTCGGACACAGAACTGCAGCGGATCCTCAATGGCTCGTTCAGAAACGCTCGGCTTCCAAATCCCCCTGTTTCTGTCTGTTTGTTTGTTTTCTAACTCCCCCCGGGGAAGAGGCCGTGCCTGCCAGTGCTCCCTGCAGAAAACCCCGAGATAAGCCCTTCATCCACACTGAACATTTTCTGGAATTGAACTGTTCCGGGCTCTCAGGCCACGGGGGACACACAGAGAAGAACCTCCCCGACCCCCAGGCAAAAAGCCGCCAGAAGCCCTGGGGGTGCAGAGCAGCCACCGCCCCCCTCCCCGCTAAAAGATTTAAAAACATCCATGTTCAGAGAATAACGTGAGCGACCATGACATGGTGTGACAAACACTCACGTGTGAAAAGACCCATTTCCCTCTGGCGGGTACATTTATCTCTGTATTTTTTCCCTGGAGCCCTGGAGCTGCAGCCCCTCTCCCGACACAGGCAGGAGCGGGCTCGGGACCGGCGCAGCAGTGGTGGCTGCTGTCACCCTGAAAGGGACACCAGGGTCAGGCACAGCAGCTCCTGGTGAGACAGCTCGGCTCACTGCAGTGTGTGGGTGCTCTGCTTCCCTGGATGTGACCATTCCAGTGGCTCAGAATGGTGGAACTGGGATGGCCACACTGGAGGAAAAGCAATGGGTGGCAGTGTGAGGACAGGCCCAGCTCCCGGTCACACCGCCCGGCCACAGGGTCTCACGCTGTGCCACGGAGACACCAGTTTCATGAGGAGAAAACACTTTTCTTGAGAGTTAACTGTCCTTTTCCTCATCCTTCCCGGGAAGCAGAGCCAGCAGAGACGCTGCTTCCAGCTGTCATCAAAACTGCAACATGACCCTGCGTGTGACCGGGAGGACCGGGCCCCAACAGGGAGGTCACGCTCGGCACCAGGGGCAGATGCCGATGGCAAACCCCAGCAAATCCCGGGGGGACAACGGGCTCCACCAGGGCAGCCCCAGCCACCCCCACGCCGGCTCCGCCAAACCCCGCTGCAGCCCTCCGGTCTCTCTCACTTTCGGTTTTGCTCCCACAAAATTGTGCTGCGTTGGGTTAACACTGTATGGGGACAGGCTGAGAGAGCTGGGGGTTCAGCCTGGAGAAGGGAGACCTTGGAGCCCCTTCCAGTCCCTCAAGGGGGGGGCTCCAGGAAAGCTGGGGAGGGACTCTGGATGAGGGAGGGGAGCCCTAGGAGGAGGGGAAAGGGTTGGACCCTGCAAGAGGGGAGATGGAGCTGAGCTGTGGGGAAGAACTTGTTTGGTGGGAGGGTGGGGAGAGCCTGGCCCAGGTTGGGCAGAGAAGCTGTGGCTGCCCCATCCCTGGAGGGGTTCAAGGGCAGGTTGGAGGGGGCTTGGAGCAACGTGGTGTGGTGGGAGGTGTCCCTGCCCAGGGCAGGGGGTGGCACTGGGGGGGCTTTAAGCTCCCTTCCCACCCACACCACTCTCTGATTCTGTCTCTGGAGACGATGCAGAGCGACCTCAGGTCCCACCACACCTTCCCCTTTCACTGTCCTCAACTGCAAACCCATCCCTGCCCAACCATTACTCCTACAGGCCCATGAACTCTGGGCAGTCACATCACCTTGCCACACACGCTGGTCCAGCTGTGGGCAGAGCAGAGCCCCCTCCCTGCCCACACCGAGGGTCCCATCCAGCTCTGGCCCAGCCCAGCCCCCCGTGTTGCGGAGCGGGACCCCCCAGCGCTCAGCCCGGGTGTGCTGGCAGCTGGCAGGGAGGTGCCGGCCTGGCACGGCCACGGAGGAGCCGGGACTAACCCAACCTGTAAAGCAATTAGTCACTGGGAGATGAGAGCGGCCTGCCCTTCCTCCAAACACAGGGTGAGCTCCTGGAGGGGGTGTGAGAAGAGGACAGCACGTGGGCAGCCAGCATCGCCGTATCGATCCCAAAAACCAAACAGCCGGCATCAGCCCAAGCCCTGCATCCTTGGCACAGGGATCCTCGGGGGTGCTCGCCGGGGCTTGGCACATCGCTGGGACACACGCCGGGCTTCAGATGGCCTGGCACAGCTCGGGAGAGCACCCGGGCACCTCTCGGGGCGGGAGAGGGTTTTGCTTGAGCTGTCACCAGCCAGAAGAGACATTCGTGGGGTGCTGGCCACCACCCTTCTCTGGCGGAGGACACCCCGACTCCTGGGTCCCTCGCCCCAGCGATGTCACCCGTGACCACGTTATCTCAGCAGCACGAAGGCTGGGGCTCTGCAGGGGAAGGTCCCCACAGTGCCCTGAACACATCTCCTCAGCTTCGCCGTGCTGTGTGTCTTCTGGCCACCAGCCCCCCACGGAGGTGCCCAATTCCCTGCCGTGCCAGGGGCAAAGTGGCACAGAAAACAGCCGCTTCCCACCACGGACTAACGCCCTGGGCTGGTGAGTGTCCCCCGTGAGCACCCAGCCCAGGTCTCCATCCACGGCCACGGGGAAGCGGCAGCCCCACAGATGTCAAGCAGCTCTGCCCAGCCAAATACCATTCCAGAAAGGCCTGCAACTCCTAATTATACTGCTAATTAAAAGAGGACTCTCGTTTAAAAGCACTTTGCTGGGAGCTAATAACCCCACACCTCCTGGTTCCAGGGCCTCTCAAACCCGAGGTCAGGGAGGCTGAGGCCGAAATTGACACACATTTTCGCTGGGACAGACACCACCGGGCACGAGCCACAGGTGGTGGCAGCTCTTTGGGCCACCAAACCCTGCCAGTGGCTTCCAGGTCAAGGCTGGATGTTTCGCCAAGGTCTGCACCAGCCCAGACACAGCGAGCTCGGCTCAGTTCTCTGGCCTGTACGCGACAGATGAGATTGAAAATAAATTAAAAAAAAAAAAAAAGTGAATATTTAAGTCAGGGGAATACAATTCATTAATTGTGAGCTCCTTCCTTCCTAACGTCCCACTGCAATTAACCATTTCACCTCGGAGCGCTGCCCGCCTTCCCCAAAGGAGACGACAGGGGGAAGATGTGTGGTGTGTCCTGTTCCCTTCCCAAACGTGGGGTGCCGACTTCGGGGGACCGAAGCACCCACCCACCCCGTGAGCCCCACAGCACCCCACCAGTCTGACCACCACGGACCACCGCGGCCTTACGCGGCAAACACCGGCCACAGCTCCCCCAGGGAGGCCAGGATGAGCAAGGAGATGCCGAAGGAGAGGAATGCCTGTGAAGGAAAGGCTCGGAGGCCCCGGAGAGAGCCCTCAGAGTGGGGTGAAGGCGGTACAGCCACGGAGCATCGCCCCATTCCCTCCCGAGAGACCACTGTGGCTGCTCCCAGCCCACCCCCCGCGGGCACAGAGCGGCTCCTTCCCGCTCTGGTGCCACGGGAGGCTGTGACACTGGGCAAGATGCTGGCAATAATAATAATTATAATAACAATAATAATAGTAATGACAATAAAACACCCCGCCACGCAATCAGACTACTCAGAAAACACCAAAACTCTTCTCCGGGCTGGCTGCTTTCTGACCCAAACGCCTTCCCGACACTGGGCCTGGACACTGGGCCACCCAGAGCTCTGCCTTCCGCAGCCCCCGGCCCCTGGGGACGCGGGGAGGGGGCGGTGGGTGAGGGGTGGTGGGATGCACGCCACCAACGCTCCCAGCCAGCCAGCCCTGCAGCCGCTCCGAGCCTCAACGACGCTCTCAGCCTCAACAGCTTCCCATAACCATCAAACCCAGGGCTCAACAGGCGCCGCACGGCAAAGGATTCCCCCTCCTCAGCTCCGAGCGGGCACCTAAAGCAACCCCAGCCCGGAGCCTCCTCTCCTGCCAACCCCCAGTGCTGGGGAACAGACGCTCGCGGTGCCTGCTCTGCAAGAAAGTCCTTCTTTTAGAATCATAGAATCGTCTAGGTTGGAAGAGACCCTTGGGCTCATCGAGTCCAACCATCTCCCCTACTCTACAAAGTCCTCCCCTACACCATGTCCCTCAGCACTGCATCTAAACGGCCCTTAAACACAGCCAGGGAGGGGGACTCCACCCCCTCCCTGGGCAGCCTGTTCCAATGCCCGACCACTCTTTTGGTGAAAAATTCTTTCCTAATGTTCAATCTAAAGCTGCCCTGTTGGAGCTTGAAGCCGTTCCCTCTCGTTCTGTCACTAATTACCTGTGAGAAGAGACCAGCACCAACCTCTCTACAGTGTCCTTTCAAGTAGTTGTAGAGAGTGATGAGGTCTCCCCTCAGCCTCCTCTTCCTCACACTAAACAGTCCCAACTCCCTCAGTCGCTCTTCATACGATTTGTTTTCCAGCCCCCTCACCAGCTTCGTTTTTAGGTAAACCCGGCCTCCTTTATCATGCTGGGAAAAAAAAGGTCATTTATACCGAAAAAAAAAAAATAATAAAAAAAGCAGGGTGCAGGAAGGCAGAAGAAAAACCATCATCACGGAAAGAGCCCCCGCCTAAATGAAACCCCAGCGACCACGACAATCCACCCCAGAGGAGAAGCGACGTGGGCAGAGGAAGCTGTGGGTCGGGAGCCCCCAAACCTCCTGGAGAAGTGGGGGGAGAGGGTCGGATTTACTCAGGGAAGGGCTGGATCTCCTCGGGGGGGGTCTATCCTGTGGGCAACCCCCCCCCGAGCCCCCCTCCCCCAGCGGTGACAGCTAAGGAGGGGGGTGGAAAGAAGCCACTAAAACGCCAGAAACCTATAATTTAGCAGAACGACGCACCGAGCTCTTTTCCGGCTGCCGGAGAACGGGCCAAAAGGCCCTAAGGCCCGGAGAAGGGAAGGTTCCCCCCCCGGGGCCTTGCTGTGAGGGGCTTCACGGTGCTGCCCGGCCCTGCCCGTGAGGCGGACCGGCCCGGGGCGCGGTACCGCG